TTGTGTAAAGGATCTTTTAGTTACCTCCCCGCCCATCCATGTACACGGAAGGGCCATGTACATGGCGAAGCTAGAGACTGTAACCTGAAGATTGGGACAAATTAAAGAAAAAAATGTGATTTAACAAAATGACGAAAAAAAAAAGTTACGTTAGGGTCAAACAAGAACCATTTATGAAACGGAATTACAACAAGTGCACATTAATACCTAACTCTTCCGGGTGCCCAGAGCACTCTGCTACTTACTGGTAACCACTCGGTCTTCCGGGTGTGTCCATAGCACTGATACTTAAATAGCTCTTTTAACCTACCCTAGTAAGTGGGGCACAGGTTTGGGGGGCAGGGGGGTCCCTCAGTAGTTCGAACACCAGCTGGCTAATAAATTTGGCCAACTTCTCAGTAAGCTCGGCCTGCGTTGTCAGTGGCTCTACAGACACAGCAGACGCTTACTACCTGTTACTCAACACTTGGCGTCCGGTTTCTAGCAGGGAGGGCAGTTACCTTCCGGAGTCCGGTGCTCTTTGGGCACTTCTGCAACCAGGCAGTGGTAGAAGGGGTGCTCTCCAAATCCATCCTCTAGGAGATCTGCAAGGAGGGGCCGCGAGGACAGAGTTGGCCTCGGGGAAGGGGCCAGCCAGGGACTCTCACCATCCTCCCACCCGGCTCCCTTATCCCCCGGCCCCGCTGCTGTGTTACCTTTTTCGGTTAATATTACTTGCTCTTCCATGTATTCGTATTTAGCCAGTTCCTGGGGCGAGGCGCATAGAGTGGAAAGGGGCGAGAAAAAGAAAACTCTAAAGTCCCCGGCCAGTTTAGGGGGGGAACGGGGGCGGGGTGGTTAAGGGTTCCCAGGCCGGGCCGGGCGGGATCGGGTGCTGGAAAGGGGACTGACTCATCGGTCCCCCGTCCGCCGTCCCGGAAGAGCCCCAGCGTCAGTTACCTTGATCAGCCTCAGGATATCGCAGCAGTCGGCGGCGGTGGCCGGGCGGATCACGAATTTAGCCATTTTCGTCTTTTGCTTTTCTTCCCTTTGCGCACCAGGCCCCTGTACTTGAACAACAGGAGGAGGTGGTTCCTCATTCGTCTCCCGGGAGCGTCCTTTTCTCAGTCAGGCTGGCACCATGACCCGGCGACCCTCGGGTTTTGCGATTAAAAAGCTTCAGCTGACTCCAAGATAATTGCGTGATCTCCTCCGCCGCTTCCCGGGCTTTTAAGCGCCGCGAGGCCCCGCCCCCAGCCCCCAAGCTCCAATGAGCTCGCCGCGCCGCGCCCACTTCCGGGTGCCGCCCTTCTCCGGGCGCCCGTGTGAACCGGGCGGGCGGGGGCGGCGGCGGGGCGCGGCGCTTCTCTCCGGCTGCGACCTCTGGCGGCCGCGCCCGGCCTTGGGCCCGGGAGCCGACGTGCTCGGGCCCCCGTCGCTTTCGGAAAAGGCCGAGAGGCGTTCCCGTTGGCGTCGCAGTCTGGAGATCTGGTGGGTTCTTGGCCCGTCGGGCAAGGAAACTCAGGCAACTGCGGCGACTGGACTGACCTTGAGTGATGGAAATGTTCGCTCGGCCGTTCTGGACGCGGGCGCCCTGGGGCCCCTGCGAGGCTCAGCATCTTTCTGGGCGTCTGTGGCAACGCTAGTTTGGCAACAGTTGGCAGCCGCGTCACTGGTCTTTCTCACACTCGCTGGAAGTTTCCAGAGGCGACTAGATGGTAATGAAGTCATCATTCTGATGACTAACAGGAGGTATGCCTGCGTTTTCTAGAATGTCCTAAGGTTGGCTCTTTGAATTCCTGGATAACGTCACCCTCACCCCGAACTTTTAGAGTTAACAAAAGGTTTTCTTTTGTGCTTTCTTTCCTCCTGTCTTTTGAAAATGTGTCGTGTATTTCCGTCATACTAATGAAACGTCTGCTTTTTTTTCCTTTTTTTAAATTATTAGTGAAACACCATGAGGTACAGTTGTAGATTTACAAATTTTTGTGCTTGGATCTCGGTCATACCACGATCAAATACCCATCCCTCCACCAGTGCCCATTTTCCACCACCAGGATAATATCTCTCCCCCCCCATCCCCCCATCCCCCCTTGCCACTGTGGCAGGGCATTCCCTTTTGTTCTCTCTCTCCTTTTGGGTGTTGTGATCAGCAAAAGAGGCATTGAGTGGCGAACATGTTCAGTCCAGTCTACTTTCAACCTGCATCTCCCCTCCTGGGAGGATCCTCCAAACACCCTCCACTTGGTGTTCCCCTTTCTATCTGAATTGTCCTTTCCCCTAGAATACCCGGCTGGCCTCTAAGTTATGGAGTAATTCTCCTGGTGAAACATCTGCTTTTAAGGTTCATTTTAAAAATACATATATAGGCTCTGTCCACCCTAGGAGAAGCCCGTGTTCTCTCTTGGACGCATTACTCTCTCTCTCCCCCAATTCCTCACTCTTTCCCCCTTGACACCTTCAAAAAATCTGTTTTACTTCAAAACAAAACAAATATATATATATATAAAATAACTCTTTCCTCTTTTTTTTTTTTTTGCTTTTTGGGTCACATCCGTGGCGATGCACAGGGGTTACTCCTGGCTCTGTACTCAGGAATTACTCCTGGCGGTGCTTGGGGGGGGGGGCGGCATATGGGATGCTGGGAATCGAACCCTGCGTCAGGGGAAACGCCCTCCCCACTGTGCTATCGCTCCAGCCCCTTTCCTCTTTTCTTAAGCCTTCCTTGTTGGCAACACTTTGTTTTCTGCCTGAGGTGAATGTCCTAATTTCCTTTAGTGAAAGTCTGCTTGTCAGCTTTCTCCAGTTTTTCTTGTTTAATATGTCTCTAAATTGTCTGGAAAAAAATTGTGTGGGAGGTGGGGGGTGGCGGGGGGGGGGGGGCACACCCGTCAGTGCTCGGGGCTTCATCCCGGGGTTGTGATTGGGAATGACCCCCAAGTGGTGCTCTGCTTGCAAAGCAAACGCCATAAACTTTGTACGCTCTCCCCAGCCCTTACAATTATGTATTTGTTTTTTCAAGATGACTCAAAGGGCTAGAGTGAATGCTTCAGAGACTGGAGTGTTGAATACCGTTCCTGACACCCAAGTTTCCCGAAGGACTGATCTGAAAGTTCACAGACCCAGAGCCAATTCAGACAGCATTCGAAGAAGATTGTTAGGATTAAATCCCATAACTGTATATTCTTATAAAAAATATTTCTTGAATGAGTTTTTTTTGGTAGTAAGCTTGGGACTTACTCCTGCCTCTGCAACCAGGGATCACTTCTGGCCGGCTCAGGGAACCATATGTAGTGCCAGGGAACCGTGGTGGGACAGCATCTACTCACTGTACTCTCTCTGGCCCCTGAATATGTGTGTGTGTCTGTGTGTGTTTTAAACATGATCCTATATGAAGCAATTTAGATGAAGCTCCTGAGTTCTAGAGGCAAAAACTTAGATGAATCTCCTGAATTCTAGAGGTTTAGTTGTGTCTGTGAAAGCTCAATGTAAATCATCTGAAAAATGTTGGGTTTTTTTTATCTGGTTTTGGGATAGTGGGTTGAAACCAGGGTCTCATGTGTTCAAGGCCTGAGTTTTACTACTGAGCACTGCCTGGGTCCCAAATTCTTGAAGGTTTATTTCACTGCTTTATAGCACTTAAGGTTAGAAGTTACTTTCAACTTACTGATATCTGTCTTCTGGATTCTATTGTTGAAAGTTATGCTCCCTTCATTATCTGTACCTCACCCCCATTTTAACACCTTTTATTTTGAAATGACTATAAACGTACAATATTGTGTCGCCATTATTGCTCTGGTGACTAAAGCAATGCTCTGGTGTATTATTATGCTTTCTGAATTTTTTTCTTTTCTTTTTTGTTTTAGACCACACCTTGGGGTACTCAAGGATTACTCCTGGTGATGCTTGGGGGACCATATATGGTGCTGTGCTGGAAATCAAACCAGTGTCAGCCATGTGAAAGTACATTTTACAGTGGTAGTTTCTCTCCAGCCACTGGAATTTTCAAAGCTGTTTGGATTCTTCAGTCCTTTTTGAAAACCTGAGAGCAAAATGTTTGAGACCACTTGGCATTTGGTGTCGCTTTTCCTTGTTTATAGTCACTGGAACAATTATTCAGCCTTTTGCAGGTAGAAATTTTCTTTTTCAGTCTCCTTTCCCAAACTTTAATGAGGGGCCTGCTTTGGCTGTAGCTGCTCTACCTGGGTTCTAGGATGTGTCATAAAGAAAGTATAAGAGCTAGTCCAGTGAATAAGGTCAGCCTTGCACGAGGCTGACCCAGGTTTGCTCTCCAGGTTTGATTCCCTCCCTGAGCACCACCAGGAGTGATTCCTGAGCATAGAGCTGAGAGTAATCCCTGAGCACTGTGGCTCAAACATATGAGAGAGGCAGAGAGAGAAAGTGCGCATAAAATAGGCCTGCAGTAGTCTATAGAATGGAAGATTAGACTTTCACCAAATACCTGCACCCTAACATTCAACAGATGATTCTCTGTATTTGCTAATAATGTCCTCTGTGTAGTAAAGGAAGCAAAAGTAGATTCTCTGTTGCCCTTCCCATCCTCGGGCATAGGGGATATCATGCATAATGAGTCACCATGAGAGTCTATACACTATCATTCTCAGATATTTTAAAATAGCTTCCACTCTCTCCTGCCTAAGGTACTGCAGGTAATGTCTTTCTTGACAACATGATACACAAATGACCACTAATAGGTTTCTCCTTCTGTCTAACATGCGGAAGAAAGCTTGTTGCAAATTTATTCATAACCATAAATATCCCCACTAAGCATCAAGGATAACTATCTTGTCGAAGCAAAGACAACACTGTTTTCAATTTGGATTGTTTAGTTTTTAAGAATAAATTGTTTTTTCATAAAAAAGTCATTGCAATTTTTTGTTGTTATTGTTTTTACAGTTTGTTTTCATGTCCTTGTGCTTCATTCTGTCATTATGAGAAGAGTGATCTGAAGGACAGATTGCTAAAGCAGGATCATCGTGAGTTGTGTTTGTGCACTAGTAGCTTAAAATCCTAAGAAATTTGAATTTTCTACCTAGCATCAAATCAAGGTAGACGTTTTTCATTGTTTAAATGAATGCAGTGTATGACAAATATTACATCCTTTTGATACTGGAGTTTCTTATATTGTAATTTTCATATACAAATTCATAAAAGGGATAAAGATACATTTTAAAAACTTTGGATTAATGAGTCAACAAATCAGTAAGTATTAATATATTGAGTCTTATGCTTGCCACTCGGGAGTTACTTATAATCCTTTAGGATAACTGAATTTTGAAGTCATCCCTCAGGGCATACAATTTACTTTTAGAGATGTATATGCAGTTTACTAAAACAGAATTTAATCTGTGAGAAAAAGAACTATTACTGAGGAGGTCTGAGTAGGGGGTGGGTAGGACTGTGGGCGTTTATTATTTATGGTTTCATTTGATCCTTGAAGTTATCTTGTGAAATAGGTCATTTTGACTCCATCTTTACAACTGAGAAAATGGGATCTCAGAGGGGTTACGGAATTATAAAACCCAGGAAGTGGTAGAGCTAGAAAAGAAGGAACTCAGTTTATATCAGTGCATGTCCTTAGGAAGAGGTCACAGTTTAGCTTTTTCGGGGAAGGTAGTTCAATATAAGGGTCTGAGGATGCAGGGCCGATGGGACTCTGTGGTGCTGTGTGACCCACCAGGACTACTCCTGCATTGGCAGGTTTCTCCTGGACCACCTTGAGGTGCTGTGGGTGGGGCAGGGCATGTGATGCTGTGATTCGAATGTAGTTCTGATTTACCTGAACCTTTTAGTTCTGAGGTATCTTCCTGCCCCTTCTGTTATTTTTTTAAAATGAATAGGTGTTTATTTGTCAGCCATGTCTGAATTATCAAACAAGTGTGTAGGCAAAAGGGTAGACAGACAGACAGAACTTGCTTTTACCCAGCCATAGTAACAAAGGGAAGATTCAGAAAGATATAGATCTGATTCTGATCACATGGTTTCATCTTGGTTTATGGTATTCTGGGAAATATGTCATGATTTAATTACAAGGACTGAATGGGCCACATCCAGTCCTGTCATTGCAGGGTCAGAAAGGAAAGCAGTGGAGAGACTGCTGGGTTTTTCAGACTTGTTTGTCAGGCTGAGAATCAGTGTGTCTCTGAAGAATATATTGTGCCTTTCTGATTTTGAAGCCAGGATGAAAAGCAGCCTGTGGGCATGCTTCTGGTACCAACCCCTTTCCCTTGATCAGAATTTCCACCTTGCCTGCAGAGTCCAGCTTGCCCACGTGAAGTAAGACCTCGAATTCTTTTTCAAACTTGGTGATGAAGAATCGACTTGAACAAATTGCTGCTTTAGTAGATGCTTCTCTATATGAACCACCGACATCTTCAGAAAATGCTTTACCTTGAACTCGTAGATCAAGTGATGAGTTTCTGCACTGCTTTACCTTGAACCGTAGGTCAGGTAAGGCATTTCTACATGTGTAGAAGGGAAAAAATTCTGGAATGTTGACACTTTCCATTGATTCCTGGCCGTGGAGTGTGAATATCTTTTTGAATTAATATTTTGTGCAACTTCAGGTAAATACCTAGGAGTGGAATCATTGGGTCATATTGAAGCTCTATTTTAAATTATTTGAGATGTCTCTATTATTGTTTCTTATGAAGCTGAACCAAAAGACAGTGTTAGTGACAGTGAATGAGGGTTCCTTGTTCACTACATCTATCCCTTATGATTTCTGGATTTTTTGTACAGGCCATTCACACTGGTGAGAGGTCATATTCAATAATTGGTTTGATTTTCATTTTTCTGATAATAAGTGTTGATGAGCATTTTTTATGCCTATTTGCCATCTGATGTCTTCTTTGAGGAAGTTTCTGTTCAATATATCACCCCATTTTGGGAAGGCCACACCTGGTGGTGCTAAGAGGTTACTCCTGGCTCTGCACTCAGGAATTACTCCTAATGGTGCCCAGGGAACCTTAATGGATGCCGTGAATTGACCCCTGGTCAGCTGTGTGCATGGCAGGTACCCTACCTACTATATTATCACTTGGCCTGACTCTCCACAGTTTTTGATGGGAATACCTGGATATCTTTTCTGTTATTGTTTTAGGGGGGCACACCTAGCAGTGCCTAGGGCTCTGTACTCAGGGATTGCTTCTGGTGTGGGTTGGGGGGGCATATGTGGTGCTGGGAATTGAAATTGGGTTGACTGTGTGCAAGGCAAGTGCCCTACCTTTGGTAATCTCTCTCTGGTCAAGACCTGGAGATATTAAAGCTTTATTTTATGCCCTTCTTAGTAAATTGTTGCTGCCATAAGAAGAAGGGACCCATATGCTAGGCCAGGGTTTAGACCAGAGGTGGCCACATGTGAAGTAAACGCCTTTCTCACTGTATTATCTCCCCAATCACCAAAATGATAATAATGCTTTGATGGAAATTTTTCCACTCAAGTTTTGTCACACATTTCAGATTGCTTTTTAGATAGATTCCTAGAAGTGATACTAGCTACTCTGTGAGCAGAGATGTAATTTTGTTAACCTGGATCTAGATAAATACTCTTAACTTAGGTTCTTGCTGCATAAAAATATAAATTTAAGGTGATTCTCCAGATGTGTACCCTCTGGCATGACTTATTTAGATTTTGATATACCTGATAATGTATACATTGTCTACAGGTGTTTGATAAGTGGTAATGGTTGGAATGGATTAGAAGTTGGGTTTTCAGGGATGCAAAAAAAAGTACAGTAAAAATGACATTTGCACTTGTATGTTTATTGCAGCACTATTCACAATAGCTAGAATCTGGAAACAACCTGAGTGCACGGGAAAAGACGACTGGTAAAAGAAACCTTGTTACATCTACACAGCGGAATACTATGCAGCTGTTAGAAAAGATGAAGTCATGAAATTTGCTTATAAATGTATGGACATGGAGTGTATCATGCTAAGTGAAATGAGTTAGAGAGGGAAAGACATCGAATGACTGCTCTTGTTTGTGGAATGTAAAATAACAAAGACTAACACCCAAGGACAGTAGAAACAAGGGCCAGGAGGATCGCTCCGAGTTTGCAATCCTGCTTCATGTGTTGAGGAAGAAGGCAGTTGGGATGGAGAAGGGACCACTAAATAAATGATAGATGGAAGAATCACTCGGGATGGGTGATGTGTGCTGAAAGTAGACTACGGGCCAAACATTATGGCTTAGTATCTGTTGCAAGCCTTGATGCCCAAAAGTAGAGAGAGTAATAAGAAAGATGCCTGCCACAGAGGCAGGGGGTGGGATGGGGTGAGGATATCAGGAGGGATACTGGTGACATTGGTGGAGGAAAATACGCACTGGTGGAGGATGGGTGCCCGATCACGTATCACTAAAACTCAATCCTAAAAGCTTTGTAACTGGATCTCACAGTGATTCAATTAAAAAAGTTGGGTTTTTCTCAAAGGGTGCTTTTCTTAGTTAATTTGTATCATAGCCTATGAGGATGATCAACAAAAATAGTTGACCCCAAGGAACCACTTTGGTTTTGGTCAAGATTTTCAGGTTTTTTCTTTTCATAAATTATGTTATAGGACATGGATAACCGGCTTACCTTTAGGGGTATACCACCAAAAGTATATCTTTAATATCTTTATAATGAGAGAGAGAGAGAGAGAGAGAGAGAGAGAGAGAGAGAAGAAAAGTGCCTGCCATAGAGCTAGGCTGAGGGTCGGGGTTGGAAGGATGGAAAACTGGGGACATTGGTGGTGGGAAAAAAAGCCCAATAATGAAGAACATTGTAACTGCGTATCTCATGGTGATTTAATAAAAAAGATATCTTTATAAATGTTAAGTTTTGCACACCTTAGGTTGTATTTAACAGAGCCTGACAGCAGCAAACAGGGTTAAATAAGATATTTGATAGGGCTCTTGTTTGTGCGTGATGTTACCCACCACTAACTACTTTTAGAAATTCAGTGAGCACTACAGGAGGTGCAGATATGACAGAAATCATGACCTTTTGGTAAAGTCTGGAAAATATACTTAAAGAGATCAAGGCTTGTAATGAACACGGTTTTCTAGACAATATTTTCTGCTTTCAAAAAATTCTCTACATTGAGTTATATGATTCTCCTAAGGGGAAGGGTCTGCAAGTCAGCCTGCTCTCTCCTTGGTCAACATTGTAACTGAAGCCATGACAATCCTTTTCTTTTCTCTTATGCACTAAGAAAGTCCTTTTCTTTATGCCGCACCTGTAGGAAGATGTGGAGGTCTGAGATAGTGATTTTGATTTGTCAGAGAAGACTACATTTGAGTTTCTGACTCTGCCCAGCTACAGTTGGGATGCGCTTCATCTTTCTGCCTGCTTTTGATGATCTCTCACAGCCATCATCCCAACCACCACCCCTATATATATGTGAGATGAAAAAGGTCCTTGCTCTGTGCACCATAGGAAGAAATACAAGAGAAGCTCTTTGGCCAAAGAGGGAGGCCCAAAGTGGAAAATGTCTTTTGAGAACATGAAATAATAAGGATGTTCATGCTTAAATTCATGACATGCCCAGCTCTGTTTCTTCATGACCCTCTCCACAAGAAAGCCTTAACAAATCAAAGAATGAAAAGGTTATTTATGGTAGATATTCCTCAGTTGTACTATGTTATTGAAAAATACCCTTATCTATTTATTAGATGAAATCTATTTGTCATCCTAGCTTAAAGCTATTCCTTGAGGCTTCGACAAATTTGTATGATCAGAAGATCATAACAATTTATGATGGGAAGAGAACACAGAAACCGTCTAGCTTAAGTTTTATTAAAGATTGTGATCATGCTTCTTTGCTTCCTTGTGAGGAGAGCAGTACATTGGCAATAGTGCTAAACTATAGACAGAGATTGCTTCCTGGAAAACAGTTGTAGAGCCTGAGTTATTTTTGGTAAGTATGTTGACGTACTCACAGGTTATGAATGTCTGTAAATTAAGACTGATCTTCTCTTGGGGCCAGAGAGATAGTACAATGGGCAGGGAACTTGCCTTCTATGTGGGTGGTAAAGGTAAGGTAAAGGTAAAGGCCCTCCCGTTGATCGTCGATTTGCTCGAGCGGGCCCAGTAACGTCTCCATTGGAGACTTTGTTGTTACTGTGTCTGGCATATCGAATACTCTCGGTAGCTTGCCGGGCTCTCCGAGAGGGGCGGAGGAATCGAACTCGGGTCGGCCATGTTGGCCACTTGTAAGGCGAACGCCCTACCCGCTGTGCTATGTGGGTGACCCAAGTTTAATCTCTGGCACCCCATATGTTCCACCAAGTACTGCTAGGAATAATTTCTGAGTGCAGAGCTAGGAGTAACCACTGAGCATTGCTGGGTGTGGTCCAAAAATAAAAAAATGACTGATCTCCTTGGACCAAAAGACCACCACTAATACTTTTTGTTTCAACATTGGAAAATAAAAAGGCAGCTATTTGAACATAACTTTCTTTTTTATCATTCTGTTTTTATTGATTATTTATTACTACAAAACTTAGTGGTTTAAATTTTACACGTTTATTATTGTGGTTTCTATAGATCAGCAACCATAGCTTTTCTGAGTCCTCTGCTCAAGGGGTAAACCAGGCTGCATTTACATGTAGTTGAAAATTAAAAGAACTTGGAAGAAATCTCCTTCAAGTTCATTCACATTGTTGGAGTTGTTGAAAAAAATTATTTCCTAGATTGAAGGCCTTGATTTGTTAGCGGCTTTTAATGGAACTTACCTGTGGTTTTTAGGGCTGCTTACATTTCATTGTCACGTGGATTTAATTAGCGTGGCCATTTACTTCATCAGTCCAGCAAGGGGAGTCTCTGGAGTGATCTGCTAGCAATATGGAGTAGTTTTTAATTGTGAAAATCCCCACAAAACACAAAATTTACCATCTTAATAACATTAAGTAGACAGTACAATAGTTTAATTATATGTTTACTCTTGGGAAATAGAAAGGTGTTTTTTTTTAATCTTAAAAAGAAACAAACTCGGGCTGGAGTGATAGTACAGTGGGTAGGGCGTTTGCCTTGCATACGGCCAACCCAGTTTCGATTCTCAGCATCCCATATGGTCCCCTGAGCACCATCAGGAGTGATTACCGAGTGCAGAGCCAGGAGTAACTCCTGTGAATCGCCAGGTGTGACCCAAAAAGCAAAAAAAAAAAAAAAACCAAAATAATAAAAAATAAAAAGGACCAAACTCTACACCTATTGAATTCAACTAATTTTTCTTTTACTCCTGACCCATGTTAACTACATTCAACTTTTATCCCATTTATTAGGCTATTTTAATACTTCATTAAAAAGTAGAATCAAATACTGGTGTTTTTTTTGTCACCAGCTTATTTTACCTAGCATAATATCTTAAAGACTTATCCATGTAAAAAAGTATAAAGATGTCTCAAAAAATGAAGACTAGAGCTTCCATATGACTCAGTGACTCCAGTCCTGTGCATCTACCTGAAGTTTCACAAATCATTAATTCAAAAAGACATCCACACTCATATATACATTGCACTGGTATTCACATCAGTCTAGATCTTGGAAAAAACTCAAATGCCCAACAGCATATGAGTGAATAAAGAAGTTTTGGCATATATACACAACAAAATTCTACTCAGCTCTAAGAAAAGATGGATGAAATCATGCATTTTGCAGCATCTTGAATTTAACTAGAAGGCACTATGCTGAGTGAACTAAGTCAAATGGAGAAAGACAAATGCCAAGTGATATCATTTACAGTGGAATGTGAATAAAAACATAGTAAGGGACTAAGTAATCACCAATAACAGATCGTGAGATCTGCCTATAAAACTGAGTCTATGGGCTGCTGTGATGGTATAGTGGGTAGGGCACTAGCCTTGCATGTGGCTGACTGGGCTTGATCCCAGGCATCCCAAATGATCCCCTGAGCCCATCGAGAGTGATCCCTGAGCACAGAGTCAGGAGTAAGCACGAGCACCACAAAACAAACAAAATAATTGACTCTGGTAAGTTTGAGAGTAGGTTATGAGAGGGGTTCTAGAGACAGTGGTGGAGGGATGTTGGTACCCTAGACAACACTGCATGCTTAAAACATTAGCACTCTTGTCAATCATGGTGTCTAAATACACGTTTTTAATAAAAAAGGTCTATGTTGTAGCCTATGACAAAATTTTCATATTTAGGACTGAATACTATTGTAGTATATACTATATTTCTCTGTTCTTATATACATTGATGTAAAAATAGGTTTCTTTTACCTTTTGAATATTCTGAATAATAGTGCAATGAAAGTAGATTTGCAAATATGTCTTCAAGATTCCAATTTCAGTTCTTTTTGGCGTATATTCTGAATGGGATTACTAGATCACATGTTATATTTTTAATCTTTGAGATATCTATACTATTTTATATAGTGTCTGCACCATTTTAAATTCTCACCAACAATGCACAGAATTTCCTTCCACTACATATATACCAGACTTTAATATTTTCTGTTTTTTAAAAAATAATGACCTAATACATGTGAGGCAATATCTTATTTTGATTTTCTTTTGTAATTTTCTGATAAATTAATGGTGTTGAACATATTTTTATTTGCTTGTTTGACATTTATATGTCTTCTTTGGAAAAATGTATATTTAAGTCCTTTTCTCACTTTAAAATCAGGTTATTTGACTTTTGTTTTTGTTGAACTGTTCTTTCTATATTCTAAATATTGACACCTTATCAGATATCTTATTTGAAAACATTTTCTTTAATTTAGTAGACTGTTTTTTCACGCTGTGCATTGTTTCCTTTGATATGCATCCGTTTTAAAGCTTGACACAGTTCCATAATACTTTAAAATTTGATTATGCTTTGCTTTGGTTTTCAGTCAATATAGAGTCTTATCCAAGGTAACTATGGAAGTAATATATCATCTTTACCATAGTCTGTTGGTTAGAATCAAGTTACAGGTTATTCAAAGGGAGGGGATCACACAAAGGAATCTCAGAAGGAGGCAAGGCAAGAGGCCGCCCTATAGTCTATCTGCTTTTAAAAGGAAGTAAATGCCTGCTTCTTATTTAGTATTCAACAAGCCCTTATTAAGATCAAACATTGTATTTGGGTCACGGTGAAATAAATACATTATGGTTCTTGCTCTCTATGAACAGAATTCAATATGTTCCTCGTGGTTGGAAGGGCTCTATCCTTCTGGGAAAAAAGTACAAGAACAGTTAGAATTGAAGTGCATTCAGCGTATCCTCCCTCCACCAATCAACTCTCTCCTCCCTTTTAGAAGCTATGTCCAAAGAAAAGACTAATGCCCACCACTCAGCTCAAGGATCAAAGCTATAGCTTCTCATAAATACTTAGGAAATCTGAAGAGTGCAATCAGGCATCTTTTGGCCTCCTAAAGTATCAGCTCTTTGATACTGAGTATGGAGATTACTCAATAAGATCATAGGGAATAATTGCCTGTTAGTGCACAAAGTCAAAATTGGACACCCCCTCTTTTCCCTGTGGCCCCTGGGTACATACAATAGATGTTAAAGTTC